TCATTCCAACCGATTTTTCGGGGACTAACTAATTAAAGCCGCTCTAACTAATTTGTTGAATAGTAGCAATAAGTTGATGCACAACACCAAGTTGGATAAGCTGCGTCGAAATCATGTGACCATTGTTTCAGTGCGGGACATTATGGGCGCCAAAAGAATCATAGTGCGACTAGTGCGTGAAAATTTTACGAAACGGCTTTTCTGGGACGGTTTTGTACAAAGTATGCCGGATTCATAGTTGTTTCTTGGGCAGCTTCATCCTTACGAAAATTTCCGTTCGGAACGAGAGAGGGCCAATGATATTTTTAGTAAAGCATCATTCAAAGGATAGTTTTTCCGAACTAATGGAATTCAGCAGTAAAACTTAGAAAATAGATTCTTGCTAGGGTTCACATCAATTTGTGGTGACAAAAAATACAAAAAAAAGGGAAAATGCGTGAAGGATTCTCCAAATTTTAAGATAGCGGTGTGCCTACCTTAAAATTTGTATTTGTACACGTGTACTTTTATACTTTGTACATTTTGTAGTCTCAACTCATTCTGATCCCTTACAAGGACCTATTAGCTGAGTTACAGAGTTAAACTGCTGAATTTCACTAAAGGCTTGCAAATATATTCTTTTGTGCGTTGCTACATCAAAGGTATCCTTAAATCTCACTAAGTCAGCCAGTTACATTCGAAATCATACAGGACTCCCCTGAGGGAAAGAGCTGTTTACGAAACGACCATTAATATTGATATCGTATTAATATACGACCCTAAGAAGATTCCTAAATCCTAACCTTCCTTAGTGAATTCTTCTGTATTGGCATGTCTCTTTTATCAAAATCTCATGTTTCAAAGCTTTTCGGCGTCATTGGTTGGATCAAAATTCCTCGACATCAATCGGAACTATATTAAAAATAATTTCCAGAGACACGAGGAGGTCCAGTTAAATCAAGTTCATCTCTTGAAAATATGGCAACTAGTAGAATAGGTTTTACGGGCCAGCGAGAAGAAAAGTTTGAGCTGAGAAGATCATATTTCAGATAAAAGGGATTGCTGAAAAGCCTTAAGTTCGGTACCGAGTTAGCGCGAGAGATGAGGCTTTAAATCTCACTTCTTTGGTATAAAATTCTAGGAATTCATCGATATTTATCAAAGATCCCATAAAGTCACGCCAGGTAAAGTTTATTTGCTCCATATAAATACATTTACCTATCAACAACCTGGGCGGTTGATCCTCGGAGAGAATTTAGAACGCGTTTAAGATTCCAACATGCAATTTTATCCAGTATGAAGTTATGAGAGCACAGTATTTAAAATCATAACGGGTATATTGCCCCGCCATAGAAATACAGCAAACCAAGCACATTTTGAAACTGTATAATCGCACAGGAAAAAATGTCTAAAATACTTTTCTTGACGCACGGCTGCACAGTCTGCAACGAGAAAATATTTAAATTTACCACCGTATGCGGGTACTTCTTTCTCAATCGTCGGTAATCAGCTTACTTGGAGAGATACGAAAAAACCTGACCGAAAACTAAACCTCTTGAACTGTTTCAAAGTCTTTCTCATACATGATTTCAATTCTTTCGCAGCCATTCATTTTGCCTTTTCATCTCGATAACGAGAAAAAAAAATCGTCCGGGAAATTATCAGAACACGTACCTCGGTTTGCAACGTTGATGACAAATGAAGATGTACGGAACCAACACAACATGGGAATAGAGCAAGAGAAAGAACGCGCGTTGATGACGGCGCAGAGATACAACTATTCGTGCTTGATGGATGTCCGTGTTGCATCTCCAAAATTGAAGGCGCGATGACGCGTTGCGTGAACTCGCAATGCTCCGTTCTGATTTTTTGAATTCCCTGACATGGCCCGGTTTTCCGAGTAATCTCCGACCGTGCCAACCCTCTCAACGAGGGCCAGAAGGAGTTAACACGAAGAAAAACGCCGAGTCTCCGGGCTCGTTATCCGCGGCCCTTCTTTAATCCCGATGTCCCTGCTGCGGCGCGCCGTTTCATTGATGATTCACCGTTATTGGCGTTATTGGGGACGTTTGCGGCGCTCGGATATTTGTTGGATACTTTCAATATCGGATCGGGCGTTATTTAACGGGGCGGCAAGTACAAGACAATCCGGGGAATACCGCCGGGCGCAATTTCCCGCGGCGGGGGGCGGGGGGCGGGGGCCGCAGTTCGGGGCGGGCGTTCCGTACGTTTCGCCGGCGTCCGGGTCTCCCCGGACCAATACTTTAGCGGGAAACGTCGGAGCGAGCAGGGATTTCGCCCGCCGCGCCGCGCACACGAACCACCGAGCGCATCCCGACGCCCGGAATTTCCAGCCGTTTTTTCCTGACTCCGCCGCTTTCCAGTCAGCTCTCGGCTAATTCCGGCTCAATGATAAGAGCACTTTTCATTCCGTTTCGGACTTGCCAAGAGACCCTCCCTCCGGGCCGCATTGCCGCTCACTCTCTGATTTTGAAGAAAAAAACACCTGCGGGTTGATTGTTGACATTGAAAGACACGAGGTGGAAAAAGCGATTGATAAAGCTATAGACAAAGCGATAGACAAAACCGTAGGCAAAACCATAGACGAAGAAGACACATAAAGTAAGGGAGCGATCCTATTGGTTGAAATGGTTGGTTCCTATAGACTGAAGGAGAAAATAGTGAACTAACTGGACCGCGTTAAACAGAAAGGAACCAAGCCACATCAGTTATTGCCAAATTGAATCGGGCAAGTTAATTTTTTTCATGAAAACGGTTGTACGGATTTTCGTGCTAATTTCAGTGAAAATTCTCCATACTTTGAAGGAAATTCCTGAAAAATTTCAAAGGAATCTGCACAAACGATCTCTCGTAAAAAATTAAATTGCCCAGTTAAATTTGGCAATAACTGATGTGACTTGGTTTCTTTCTGTTAAACTCGGTCCACATATAAGGTCTCTCATGGGTTGCCGTTAGTTAGTTAGTTAGTCTATTACCTACCTTCATTGTCTATTATAACCACCCGCTTCCTCCAACAGTGTCCCTTTTTGTCTTCTTTGTCTATAGCTTTGCCTAAAAATTTCAAAAATCAGCCTGTTGGAGTCGTTTTTGAGTCAGACTCCTTCTGATTCTAATTGTGATCGTTTGAACATGATGTCTGAGTGTGAGATACTCAAAGTATGAGTTCGAGGGTCTCAAAGTCTGAGTTCGAGAAACTCAAAGTCTAAGCTCGAGGCACTCAAATACTGCGTTCGACGACCTCAAAGGCGGCGAGCGAGGCATTTTTAGTCAGGATGCGAGTTAAACGAAGTTTGAGTCCTAGGATTTGGAAAATCGCTAACTCATTTTGAACAGAATGCAATCAAAATCTGAGTGTGAGATGTTTCATCTTTGAGCCACTCTGATTTAAGAACTCAGCGACCAGGAGAATTAGCGATATTGTAAAAGCAAGTTACGATAAGTTAGAGGGACGGCGACTTTGAGTAAAGGGCTTTAAATTGTTGAGTTAAAAGTATTTTGATTTGAAGGCGTTTGAAACCGCATAGGCTTGGGACTTAAGTGATCGGCAGTCAAAGATTTTTGCCATCATCTTTTAGTCTAGCCATTGGTTCCCACTTTTTTGCTCAAAGATGTCCTATAGAATCAAAAATGCCTCAATATGCGATGTAAGTCAACTGTTCTCTCATCGCATAGCTCTGTTAATTTTTGACAAAACAAAATTTTTCAGCATGTTGAGGTGGATTTAAATGGAACGGATGGATCGTAAACGATGAATCCCTCTCCTCTTTGCGTTCCTGCTTTGAACGAGAATCATGAAATATGAGAACCGAGATTGCATTTTGCAATCGCTTTCAAGCTTATTTTTATTACAAGTTTCATTACAAGTCGTAGCATTCCGACGCAGCGAGAGGTAAGTTCCGTTCCAACACTGGATCCTCTTACTAAAAGCAATGCATTTTATGCTCAGATTCATGGGCGAAACATTCGTTTAAACGAATTCGCTTTCATTCGGAAAGATGTAGACAAAATACACTGTCATGGGCAGTGATATAATGGTATCTTAAGAATCAGTGCTTGGGTTCACTATCATTTGATCAGGTAGTGAAGTAGCTGAAACGAGGTTCTGAAAGCAGACACTATATCTTACGATGATGGAACAAATTCGCCTCCTCTCGACAAAGTAGGCAAAACGCGCTCACAAAAGCAGAAATAGAAGTATTGTCAAAATGAGTGATCAGGTAAACAGGGTAGGCAAAACGAGCTGGCGAAGACAGTCATTATGGTCTGGTCATATCCAGCAGTGGCGTTGCGTGCTTCGCGATATATCGATTGATCTACTGTTTAAACCTATGGAAAATGATCGATTATTAGGGTGTTCGCAGCGAACACCCTAATGATAGGTTCCTCACCACAGCTCAAATGGAGAAATATCGATAATCGATCATTCACGCCTCGCCACTGATATCCAGTGTTGCTGAGACAATGGAACTTCACCGTTCTTTTACTATAGTAAGAATTCACTTAGTCTGCCCACAATATCCAAGAAAATTACCTCATAAAATTTGAATATTTCAGAGGGCAAACATATGAAATTAAATGCTACTAATGACAGAGCAACGCATCGAAAGCTGCACGATTTTAGCAGCGATGAATGCACACAATACATGTGCTCTTTTTCTGGATGATCCTTCGGTTGTATCCAGGAATAAAAGGTATTTTTGCGAATAGCTTAATTTAAGTGAAAGGCTTGAAGGACAAGGCGCCTAGCCTGAGTGGTGTTTTTGAAAAAATTAAGATGTTAATGATTTCAACTGAAGCCGCAATCTCTGAATAAATATTTTGTGAAAAACTCACCACTGACATCCAATTTCTAAGCATCAAAAAGGGAGTTCATATATTCTTTGTTCCATGAGGGTCCATGCAATTTTGAAAATTTAAACACAAATTGCTTGAAATGGCAAAAAGTTATGCGTTTTGTCCTCCAGGCTCCTCAAATGAAGTTAGTTAAATCGAATTCTTACCTATAACATTAAGGCTGAAAGCTAGACTCATCTTGGGCTCGGTGCTAACTTGACACTCGTAGATGCCGGAGTCCCTCAGTTGAGGGAATTTTATCGACAGAGTCCAATTCTCGGACTTGTCCGGCCTAATCACGAGGAACCTTTGGTCCGTCGTATACGTTAGGACACCCGCTGTCAGGATATGTAAATCCCTTTTCCTAATCCACGATACCTGCAACAAAGAAACAAACAAACAAATGGAATCAGATGAGCAATCAGAACAAAGTTTCATACAAAGTTTGTTCCATTCATGAATTTAGCGCATCGAAGTATGGGTGTATAGCAATGTTCATGAGATGCGGTGCACTACCAGTGCCAAAATGCAGGAAATATAATTTATTTCCCAGAACTTTGGAGGGATGAGGAGGCTATACCCCATTGAACAGCACTTTTAGACTTTCGTACAAGAAAATAACTCTAATTTTGACCGGTACACCACGCTCCTGCACAGTCTGGTGGTTTAAACTTGGATTAGTGGCGATTCCAGCAAGTTGACAACACTGTTGATCCTCCATTAATATCCATTGAATATATCGATTGTCAGAGAGGCAGGCTGCCTCACCTAGAATCGATTGTTTCACACAAGTGTAAATGGCGGGGAATCACGGTTGCCAACTTTTGAGAATCGCCACTGCCTTGAATCACCCTGAATTACTCCCAAAAAGTGCCGAAGAATCCGAGCTTTCGGAAGTTGTAGAGACAACTGGCTACTCGGACAGCCCCGGGCGAACACAAACAGAACTGTATGAGCCGAGAGGGAGTCTGAGCCTGAGTAAATACTGTTGCGTAAAACGCCGCTCGGAGCGTTTTGACAACGGAGCAACAAGTTCATTTTTCCGGGTCGAGCGAGCGCCAGCCACGAGCGCGGACCGAAATCTATGAGGGGCAGAAAATTTTGGAGATATAAGCTCCGCGACGCGGCACGACGTCCCATGTCCCGCGCCCCGAAAGAAGAGCATTAGGGCTTAATATAGATCTATGTCACTTTGAAGGAAGGGTAAATGTAATAAATGTTCGCCCGAGGGGTGTGATATCGGTGTTAGAGTTCCAGCCGGGGGACTCCTTTAACGACGAAGTTTATATGAGAAAAGGTGATCGGTAAGTCACGCTTCCGGTAAATCTTTTCCTAGGCCATTATCCCCAGAAATCCCAAAAGTTGATTCCAAACTTTTTTGGGTTGATTTCGGCCTGAGTTTCATTGAGACTACCGATATACTGATTCAACTACATTGCACTCGGCAACTAACAGGGCAGCGCTCAGGGGTCCAGAGTGCTCGGCAGGGTTGTATACTTCGTAAATTGAAGGCGGCTCACATTTCCAAGCCAACAAAAGGTCCCGAATCTCCTGACTTGGGTCTCAGGAGATCAAAAAATATTGATTCTATTGCATATTCCCCATTCGATCCCCCAATCCCCCACAAAAAAAAGTCTTTGTGAGCTGACCAAGCTATCTTTTGTAAAAACCGGATATAGCTCGTTAAAACTAATTTAATTTATGTCAAAAAATTGAACGTGATTCTGGACATTTCATATCTTTTAAAGACCTTGGGGAGTGATTGTCATAATGCTGTACTTCTGTCAATTTCGGGTTATTTGCACAAGCTTTGGTTCAGATTGACCCCAAAAATCTGTTTCACAAAAAAAAACCAAACATTTGTTGTCATTTTTCTTCTCAAGAAGGTTATATACCATATTACATGTAGAGAAGCAGAAGGAAAAAAGTTTTGGTTGAAGTTCAGCGTATTTTTACCAATCGAAAAACAGCGAATCGATAAATATTTTTGCTTCCCTCCAAAAAGAGGTTCCTTCAAATAACCAGCGACCAACCAGCCTCTCGTGTCTTGCTTTCGAAGATTAAAGTTGCAAATTCGAGCTTCTAGAGCGGAGCCACCGATAACCGCGGCGCAACCCTCTTAAAACGGCAGTTTCATCTCATTAAAGGCCCCGCGCGACACCGCTCGTTCCAGCTTTGACCCGCGAGCCCCGATAGCCCTGCCAGGAAAAAAAGCCGTTCCTCAGGCAACACGCGCGAATCCCTCCTTATCACGGACGCCGACGGCGAGGAGGCACATAATAATTGCCGCGGCGGCATACTTCGTATCCCCCGTTTTCAATTAAACTCGGCGGAGATAAAGAGAGAGCGGCGGGTCTAAAACTGTAACTTCGTCCGCGGCCAGGGGCCCCGGCGCGTTATCTGAGGCCGGAAGTCGCACTGCCGAGAGTCATCGAGAAATAGAAGACGGTGAATAATAAATGACGTCATAAAAAGGTGCTGTCGCGGGGCGTCAAGCGATCGGGCCCGGCAGAGCGCGCCACCTCCCGGCCGGATATTATATTTTCAGTCCCGCTGATAACGTGAATGCCGGAGGAAGCTCCTAGATTTGCTTTATAGCTCTGGGAGAGCCGGGCGTGAGCATTGTTACGTCGTAAAAACTCTTTAGAAGGGGCGGGGAGGGGAGGGAAAAAAACGGGGGTCTCGCCGCCCCTCCCGGAACAAGATACCCTCTTAATCTGACGGCTTTTATTCTTGTTCCTCGGTGTCGTTTAGATTAGGCGCGTTGAGGGATGTGCCACCGCCGCGTCGCGGTCAGCGGCGCCCTCGTTGTCACGTTTTCGATGAAAATCACTTAACCATTGCACAAGTGTGATCGAAAACAGGTTTGAAACGGCATGAATGGGAAAGAAATGGAATAAATTTAATCATATTTAAGTGTTGTACTAATGAAACAGCATTTAAACATTCTTACTTTAATAAATATCAGAATTATATTTCATAAACATTCGCAGAGTAGAGAGATAGAAAAATATAACTTAGGTAATACAAGGAGTGTTATGACGTAATAGTTTATGTATCCCTAGTAGCAGAACAAATTTTTGTTTTTCTAAAAAAAATATAAAAAAAAATATATCTGTTATCTAAATTGTAGTTTTATATAAAAACGCGTAACGCTTATATGAAAAAATCAAAGTTCAGATCTGACCGTAATATAAGAAAAATGATAAAAACTATAAGGTAATTTTTTTTCCAGACAATTTGTTTACTTTTTTTTATGTAATGCATGCATACGAAAGTGTTAAAAGTGAACATTTTTGAGAGTGAGAGGACGAGGTATCATAATACAGGACCATAATATCTTATGGTCGACTATCTTTCTTTCCAAGAAGACCACTCTTGACATCAAATTAAAGTATTGTCCTGAACTATTTTTCATTGTTGGTTCGGTGCATCGAGGAAGCTTCATTTTAATGCCTAGCTTTTCAAAATTCTGATGTACATGTACATCGATCGATCAAAGCTACGAGCATAGTGTAGAGGCCCTGGAGATGTTCGGGGTTCCGAAAACTGATCTCACCGTTCTTTGACGTTAAAGTTTCTTTGCAACTTTATGATCCTGTTCCTCGACTTGAATTTTGATGTGAACACACGTCTGTTTTTAAAGTTTTCTTCCGAGTTTTACGGCGTTGACGCTTAGGCAATCTCATCCTTGAAGCAATGAGGGAACTTAAACCATCCACACGGAAGAGATCAGATGAATGGGAACGCTTAAATGAGCTTATGACCGTTTTAGAACACATATTGCAATTTTAATTCAATTTCAATTAAAGAGACCTCGACGAATCAGTGGCGTGGCGTGAATTGCGATATATCGATTGTTAAGCCATTTAAACCTATGGGAAAGGATCGATAAACAGGGTGTTCGCAGCGAACACCTTAATAATCGATTCTTTACATCGGATTCAAATGGGGATATATCGAAAATCGATCATTCACGCCACGCCACTGCGACGAATAAGATCGTCTGGCTTTTACGTTTGTGAATAGATTGCTGACAGTTATCTTACGGTGGAACCACACGAGCAAAAAAAACGTAAGAGGTGAAACTTAATCTACTTAATGGTGGCGCTTGGTTCCAGGTGCACCCTTTCTCAACTGGACTGCATTTTGTAAAAAGGAACCAAGCGCATTCCAATGTTGCTAAGACTGCGCAACTTTCTTTCCCTTGCAAATGGATTGCATTTTGCAAAAAGGAACCACTAGCATTGTAATGATGCTAAGATTGTGCAACTTCATCCTTTGCAATACAATTGCGGAAATTGTGAAGAACTTTTAGATGGTAATTTTTGTCTTAAATTCACACTTTTTAGCGAGTAAAATAGATACTATTAAGGGATAATCGGGTTTTTCCTCCAAAATTAAAAGAAGTTGCACAATCTTAGCAACATTGCAATGCTAGTGGTTCCTTTTTGCAAAATGCAATCCAAATATAGACTGGTCTTCAAAAGAAATTTTGTCTTTACTCCCAATAAACTATAAATTCAAGACGAATCATACCTTTGTACATTCAATTTATTGCGAGATTTCGGTAATTTTACTGCAACGAGTGTAAGTTGCACAATCCTAGCAACATTGGAGTGCTCCTGGTTCTTTTTTGCAAAATGTAATCCAACTGTCAAGAGACGTTGGCAAAGTATTTTATGCAGGTGCTTATAGTTTCCTGATTGAGGTTAGCTCTTCTGATATGTTCTGCGTTGGTAGAAGACGAAAGTTACTCTCTAGAGCTTCATCCTAGAGCAGAGCAGTGGAGAGGGGTGGATGATCAATTGGATTGCATTCAGCGAAAAGGACCCACTAGCATTGCAATGTTGCTAAGATTGTGCAACTTCTTTTGTCCTGGAGGAAAAACCCGATTATCCATTAATAGTTTTTATTTTACTAGCTAAAAACTGTAAATTTAAGACGAACATTACCATCTAAATTTCATAGTTTTTCACGATTTCCGCAATTTTATTGCAAAAGATGAAGTTGCACAATCTTAGCATCATTGCAATGCTAGTGGTTCCTTTCTGCAAAATGCAATCCAACTGGACGTATTCCTGCCAAACGGAACTATGTGCATTATGCCGTGAGCCCTGTTATGCATTTATTCTTATGGGTATCAGGGCTCATGTCTTAACGCACTTAGTTCCGTTTGATTGAAATACGTCCAATTACTGATATTTCCCCATTGGAGGCTATGGTGAAGAATCGATTATTGAGGTGTTCGTTGCGGACCTCCATTTGCGGTTAGTCCATCATTTCCCCCAGCTCCTCGATTGTTGAATCGTTATCGAATGACCTTGATCGATATATAGTATTGTTAAGATAGGGATTTATCGATCAGAAGCATTCGA